CAGCCCCGGCCGTGGCTGCAGGGGAGCGCTGGCGGCCGGGGAGTGCTGCTCAAGGTCCGGAGGGAACCATGGCTGCCGGAAACACAGATAACACCCAAAGGCCCCCCCCGGCTGAGAGCTCCACGGGGAGAGACCAGATAAGCTCGAGATGAAAACAAAATGCCTGCAAAGTAACCGTACCCTGCCCCAGGTCAGCACTTTCTGCAGCCGGCGCTCGGCTCCTTGATGCTCAAGGGCTATATTAAGGCCCCAGCTGTCCCCAGGCACTGGCTGCTCTGGCTTTTAGCCCCCTCTCTGCATCAGATTTTCAAAGGACTCTGACTCCAAGCATTGTCCCAGCCTAAAAGTGCTTTGTTCTAAGTTCTGAATTTCCCAGCACTGGTCAGACTGGGAAGCACCGGCCCCACAAAGCTCTGCCAAGTTGTCCGTGTCCCTTCCAGCTAGAGAGGCAAAGCTCCGACCTCCCCTACGCATCTCGCATTCAGAGCACGGCCGTCCTCGTTGAGACCAGGAACAGGCTGCTGCCAAGGCTTCTTCCACCAGGAGCCACGGTAGGAAAAAGAGGAGGAAGCTTGAAGGGTGAATAAATAATGCAGAGACAGAAAGTCCTGAGTCCAGAAAGCATGAATTATTTGTGTCTCCATACAGTGGAGAAAAGGAGCTCGGATATGGGGACGGCTCACCACGGCAGCGTGCTGCAGAGCCCTCTGCCCTCCTCGGCTGGGGCTCAATGCCAGATGCTGAGCTCGGCCTCAAACCCCTGTTGCAGCCTTGGTGCCCATCACCAGCCGAGCCAAGTCATTTCTCATCTTCTCTACCCCTCGGGTCCCCACCTGCAAAGGGGGAAGAACACCACGTTTCTACCCCGGGTAGGCAGAGCTGACGACGAGGACCATCACCCATGGGGCAGGCACATACTACCGAGACGATCTGCATCTTACGGACACCGGGACCCTCGGCAGAGCTGGCAGCAGCGCAGAAAATCACCCACACGAGCCTGCAGAAACG